TTAACAGTGGAATTGAGGATACATATTTTATCCTGATTGAAATTCTCAGTTAGATAGAATTGCAGCTTAGTATCAATGTTCATGGTACGAATTAAAAGTAGCACCTATTACTTCAAACATCAATGTATTGACATTTCAGTTACTAATTCCAAATAGTTACTGATTTGTTCACCATTTATATACTTCATAATTGTTCTTAAGACTCCTAAAAGAACGAAACACTTGTGGTGAATTCCAGCGCTAGCTATTATTTAGAAATATACTACCAATTGAAACTAACAGTAATATTGAGACATTCATTTGATAAACCAACACAGACCGGTTAAAATTCAATTTTATTTATAAACAACGGGTTACTATACGTTTTTATGGATAAACACCACACACATTGAATGAATTTAAAGCTATGTAAACTCATTCGCTTGATAGATAAGATGTTATTGTTTGAAACGATAGGTGTTTTATTGTAGTCTCGGTGTAAATGTCATGTGTATCCGGCTAACTAGTCCTATAATATCAACAAAATGCATGTCCTGGATTTCATTCCAACTCGTTACATAACAATTCATTTTTTTTGTTTGGAAATTGTTTGTAGGAAGACGCCGTTGACGCAGGTAATTCATTATTAGGAGTACTATAAATGTCACGTTGTTTTTATTCCTTGTTTAGTTTAATAAAATCTCTTCAATACATTGTACAATAAAATACATTATGAATTACATAAATCACAGTATGATCACATTGTTCAAATTGTGTATATGAACTGATTATGGCATAGTGTATAACCTTATATAATACAATCATATTTCATTCTGTTTGATATTACCATTACTAAATACCTATGGATTGTGTATGTTTTTTATCCTGGACCTTAGAATATTGAAAAATTTGTAGAAAATACTGGGGAAAAGAAAGATACTAGGGAACTGAAGGAACAAACAAATATTTGTAACTAGGGTATAAATAAGTGGATAAATATATATATATGTTTCATACACATAATTCCCCATTATCATTTTGAATAAAGATCCTAACAGAATAGCATGAATTATTTTTTTATTTTTTAGGTTCTCGTCAGCTGCTCACAACCAGTGACATTTAAAATCATAATTACATATTGGGTTTAAATTACTTACATGGGAGAGTTTGTTTGGAAGTTATATGGAAGACATATTAGTATAGTATAGCAAGGGTGTAAATAAATTTAATAGACTGAATATTGTCAATATATACTTTATGCGAAAGAACATTTGACAACATTGATTGTGACAACAATTCAAACGGCTAGAAACAAGTAATTACATAATGAGTAAACATTGATAGGAATGAAATGAGCCGAGCTCAGTTGATAAAATAAGATTAATAATTTGGAAGATAGTTGGAATATAACTCAATGATGTAATAAATGAGAGAAAGAGTTTGAAGAAAAAGAAAAAATATATATGAAGATGCAGTGAAGGAATGTTAGTCACCAAGGCAAGGAAAGATTAATAACCATCTCCATTTGAACACATAAATCAGGTTTTTGGAGTCTGATAGCAACTGCTTCAGCAAACTTCAGAAGACTGGAGTTTGGCTGCTTACTAATCACCTTGAATGGTTGTAGGGTACCGACCTGATGTCTTGTATCAAGATATTTGGTGATTACACTATTTATAGTCTTTCTTTCTGTTTTGTTCTGAGGCTCTTTGAAACATGTTCAAAAATCTAAGATGTGCCCTTCTTTCTGTTCGGCCAATATGGCAGCTACGAGTAAATTTATAAACACAGTTGGCGTCAACACAAAAGGGGTGCTTGTCAACCTTTGATTGAGTTATTGAACATGTTGTTTTATACAGAATTAAGAGTTTGACCGCCGGATAAGTTTTGGCTAGCGCAGTGTTCAGTCTCCTGTTAATTGTGTTTGCGACATTATCACCTTTGAAGATTCATAGATATTGGTTTTTTATTGACAGTAATTACTTCCGTCTCGTTTTCTTTAGGCCTTTTGTATTTGTCAATAAACTTTTGTGAGTAAAAATTGTTTCTTAGACACTTTCCCACGTTCATCAACTCTTCTTCCAGTTTGTCGGTGGTGACGAGAACATACGAAATAAAATGAGTTAATGATACTGTGCTAGAATCTTTGTTCTTACTCTTTTTAAAATATGTATGTAATGGTTACATTTAATATGAACTCTATGATGGCTTCGACCTCATGTAGGTTTGTCACAGTCTATTTATTTCCATGATTATTTTCTGTAGTTTATGCTTGTTAAGGGTAAACCTTAGATCTGTATACATTTCATTTGTTTTTTGGCTCTTTTTCAAGCATATATCTTATACTAGATCTTATTCTACAATTCGTTCATATTATATTTATGATATTTTAGTAATTACTATCCGTTTATATACTCATCACATCTTTGTGCTTATTGAACATATTTTCGTTCACGAATTTAATTATTCTGTTACTTGGATACCTGATACAGACTTTTTAATCATTTTTCAGATTTCCCAAATATTCTTATACTTAGTGCCCAAATAGTATATAAAGGTTGCTAAGTAGAGATAAGATCTATGCATAAGAAGCTGGGTTATTTACTTATGAGCAGTTCTGAAAAACACATTAACTTTAGTAATGTCGTAAGTAATGATCCAGGAATAACATAAAACGTTTCATTTTCTTAGACTTTCCTCGGAAGTTTCTATTCGATGTCTTTTATAGGCTTCTGAAGGCTTTTTTTGGGAAATTCTTGAAGGTCCTTAATTAATTTGATTTCTCTAAGGTTTATGCACTCTCTACACATTTTATTGCTCTACATTACTAATTTTGTCAAAAATCCTTGTCTTGATGCAACTTAGAAAGTTTTTGGAAAGTCTAAGTTCAAATTTTTTATTATTACTGTTGCCAAGCAGTTTGTACCAAACCGAATATACTATTATTAATATCATTGTTTGAATATGATCTGAACTGTGGACTGTTTCCAAAGAGATAATCGTTGAACATTTCGAAATATTAGACATTTTTCTCAACTGAACATGAGATTTATCATTGGCATACGCTCAATGCCACTATACCACCTTTAATTAAAATGAAACTTGGGACTTAAAAGTTTTGCATCAGGTATGATGTGGTTACTAGTGATTTATCACCGAATGATCTACTTAAACCTTATATGTATATGTGGTATGGTTGTATATTGATTGTAACATTTCCATGTAATTGAGAGGTTATTTTTCTGTACTAACAAAATGTCCGTAATCATCAGTTAATCATTAGTGAATATAGAGTCTAAGATTATAATGAATAATATTCCTGAACAAGTATTATCAAATTGTCTTTACTAGTATAGGGGTTGTGGAGATTATTAAGTTTTTGATTGAGATCATGAACCGATTGATGTTAGACCACCTTTGGAAACCTGGAAGCACTGGACGGCCGTTTCACTCTGATGTGGGACTACTCAGCAGTGCGCATCCATGATCCCGCTCGCGGGATTGTTTGATCGCTGTCATGTGTTTGCCCAACCTTTTAGTCCTGGTCTGAGTTACCATTTGAATTCTGTCATCGCTAAAAGACCTGACAAATATGACCTTGATCATGACTCAGTGAGCTAGGACGTTTGTTTTGTATTGTTAATTTGACTAGCAGTTTTTAGTATTTAACATCATGTTTTTTATTAAATAATGTTAGACTTTCTTTGAATGAAATTAATTCTAATAGAGTAGAATTCGCACTTTGATAATACCAGACATAGTGTGCAATTTCATTTCGCCTAGTGACCGACTACATTGCTATTCAACACATACATATTCCATTAACACTTGAAGGTTCAGACAAAAACATGGTATTGATAAATAATACTCAGAAGTACATCGTGAACTAACAATGGTTAGATGACCACTAAAAACCAGGAAGCACCAGACAGCTGTTTTGTCACCCCATAATTCTTATCAGAAATGTGCATTCACGACTTCATTACAGATCAAACCCAGAATGTTTTACATATCGAGGTGAGCGCTTAACCTTTAAATACTAATTTGCCATCGAGTGGTTTACACATCCAAATCCACTCAACTTCTGATACTGCTCAGTCATTTTCCTGAACTAATTGTGAGCAACTCCTTCATATGGTTGGATTCTAGTGATTTGGGCTTCTCACTAGAGTTCCAAAAAATATCTAATGTATTTATTCAAAATGAATATCCGGTCAGCCAATGACGTAAACTATGACTTACGCCTGTTACTCCTAATGAAGCATAGGCCGCCGACGAGCATTCTCCAACCAACTCTGTGCTGGGCCTTCCTTTCTAGTTCCATCCAATTCTTGTTTTTTTATGTCTGTCTCCGTTTCTCGGTGCAATGCGTTCTTTGGTCTTCTTTTTCTCCCTTGGCTTTGGGGATTCCATTTGAGGGCTTGTCATGTGATGCAGTTGGGTGATTTCCTCAAAGTGTGTCCTATCCACTTCCAGTGCTTCTTCCTGATTTCTTCCTCCACTGGAATCTGGTTTGTTCTCTCCCACAGTAGGTTGCTGCTGGTAGTGTCTGGCCAACGGATCCGAAGTATTTTGCGTAGACAACTGTTGACAAACACCTGTATCTTCTGGATGATGGCTTTCATAGCTCTCCAGGTTTCCACCCCATACAGTGGAACTGTCTTGACATTTGTATTGAAAATTCTGACCTTGGTGTTGGTTGACAGTTGCTTTGAGTTCCAGATGTTCTTCAGTTGTAAATATACTGTTCTTGTTTTACCGATCTGCGCTTTTACATCTGCATCAGATCCACCCTGTTCATCAATGATGCTGCCTAAATATGTAAATATTTTTACATCCTCCAGACCTCCATCAAGTGTGAGTGTTTCATACTGTATTGTATTGGAGAATCCTGCTTTACTCCTTGTGTATGTTGAAACCTACTGCTGCTGTAGCGACAGCCTCAGCAGATTTGTTAATTTTCCAAATTATTTTCATTATTATTTCTTCTTATTATTATTTTTTTCTTTTATTCATTACAGATATACACTACAATGTGTTCTTCCAGTAAATTATTTTATTGAAAAAGTCTATATATTTCTATGGTTTTGGTATATATTAATGGCATGTTTGACAATATTAAATACATTTATATGGATTACAAAATTATGTTTACCATATCGTCGTGTCCAATTTATACGTCAATATTTAAAAGCATTAAAACAATTATCACATACAGAAGAAACAGAATGTGCCCGATTTGTTAATAATAATTTAGGTTGGGATGGTATATTTTTATTACAAGCAGTAAGTAAAATCTCAAGTGATTTAATTGTACTTGATGTCACTGGTATGTTATGGAGCAACTATCAACGTGCAAAAATTACTGGAACTGAAGAAAATATTGGACGATTTATTGAAAGTATTAATCGTGTTTAAAAAACAAACTTCTTCTTTATCTTCTTCTCCTTTTTCTTCTTTTTCTTCTCTTTTTTTGTTTTTTGATAAACAATATATAAACATATCAAAATGGATTCCTTCTATAAAAATGATATTCACTAGCCTGTGATTTATTTATACAGATGACTAATGAGTCTCTCTCTCTCTCTCCTTACCTCCCTCTCTCCTTCCCTCTCTCTCTCTCTATATATATATATATACCTAGTGAACAATTAGTATACATGTACATATATGCCTTTTATAAACGCAGCAAATCCTAATGAATTATTTGATCATTTTGTTTTACTAAAATTAATTGCTCAGCTCTTCAATGAATTTGAATCTTCTTCCTTAGTTACAATTATTATTATTATTAATACATTTAATATTATGTTAGTAACAATTATTATTTATTGATTGTTTACTCTTTCTAATGATAATAACTAATAAACAATACTATAAATGTGAATATATTATAAATAGGGTATCAAATTACCCAATATGTAATACTTTTTGAATGATATAAAACTAAGAAATCAATATTTGAAGATACTCATTTTATTCAGTTATTTATCAATATCTTCATCTTATTTCCCCCTTCATTTTAACTAGTCAGTATCTATTGAATATTGTATAGGATATTTGTGTATACATGAATATTTATCAAAAACGAATTCTATTGTACAATTATATTGGTGTGTATTTATGTATATCCATTGAATAAATGAAACTATTTATATTTCCTAATTTCCCATACAGATTGAGAAATGTTCCCCCCTTTGGTCAGATTTTTATTTAACGCATAAATGCAAAATTTATTTATATAAAAATTCAACTGATCTTCGTTTCTTTTTTCTTGATATTTTTGTCATGGTAACAATTGTTAATCAGTGGGTATGATATCAAACTCAGACATTATTACTTATCTATATGTATATGTGAATAATAAATAAAATTATGGTCTTCCGGTAATTCAGTTGATGTTATGTATATATATATATATATATGTCGAATCATCAGTTTGATGAGTTTAAATAGAAGCCAGAACAATATTTGTTGCAGGATATCAAGATAAACAACAAGAATAAATTCACTTGGTGTTGTTTTACTTGTATCTTCCGACTGTTACATAGGACTGCAATTGATCAGTCTTATGTTGGCATATGTGCATCCTATGCAAATTACCTCAATATTGCCTTAAGTCACAAGCTTTTTAAACAAAGATGGATACAGGTACATCCAGCTTACGAGTCCCAAATAGAACGGAATTCGCGTCCTGGATTCCACTGCTAGCTACTATTCATCTTTGCTTAACAAGATTGAAGTTTTTTTAACAATGCTTGAATAATGCTTGCTTTCCTCGTCATATTATTAAAACTATCCGTGCATGTAAAATACCTTATTCATGAAAAAAAACTTCAACATGTCACTAAATCCCAAATCGAATGTACCAAGGAAATTATCTCTAAACTTAAAACAGAATCCCTTGGTTATGACAAGTATTGTATGTCGAATATCTGCATCAAAATTTGTCCTGGCTTTATTTAAATTCATAAAGGGAACCAAATGCATGAAGTTTGATGAGTGTTAGAATGGAAACAGAAGTATGAAAATCTGTAGTTTGGATAGCTAGATTCTGTTAAACCTGTTAGTATATTCTGTCAGACTATAATTTATAAATGACCTTTGAGCGACGTTAAAGTGACTTTGAGAGTGTATACTTAATAACTAGGACCAAATGAGAGTTATAAACCAGTGTGAGGAATCAGAATTATGATTTACAGTTGATGGTTAGGTTAGGAATTTGGTTTAAGGTTTTGATCACGAACTGAATCTTGCACCAAAATCCAAGACTCGTTATCTCATGTCATGTTGGTTCGTTCATAAATTATAGTCTTTCCATAGACTATTATCTTTTAGCCTTCATAAAACTGTTAGTCAGTTGATTATAATTCAGTTTCGCAGATTTGCGTTAAAAATATCCATGTTGGATATCTATCAAGTTTTAGAAATTACGATCCGTTGTAGTCTGATATTGTTTTAACTGAAGGTTAGAGAAGGAGTTCATATGGACGATACATTGATTGTGTAACAGATATACTAAACGTGTTGACAGGCTTGTTGTTTTAAAAGGAAGAAAATTAAAATTTTCACATATACAATTATTCATTCTCTTTTTTTACGCATTTCAACCATTGAACTCCTTACCCCTTTAACCTATTTTTAATGGCTACAGTTTCCATATCATTTAACATTTACCACCTTTATAGTTCACATATAAATATAATGACATACTGAGCAACCCTGTACTGATCGCACGAAATCGTATGGCCAGTTGGTAGGTGAGATATTTAAATCTAAGTGAATGTATTAAGTGGATCATGTACGTAGGTTACTGCATTATGTTCACATCAGGATCAGTCAACTAACCGAAATATTACTAGTATAGGGGTTGTGGAGATTATTAAGTTTTTGATTGAGATCATGAACCGATTGATGTTAGACCATCACAATTGAAAACCTGGAAGCACTGGACGGCCGTTTCGTCCTATTGTGGGGCTCCTCAATAGTGCGCATCCACGATCCCGCGAGCGGGATTCGAACCCAGGGCCTTCGGTCTCGCGCGCGAACGCTTAATCCGTGTCGGGTAGAGACAGGTATCTACCTCAGTACAACGGAAGTTGGTCGCGCAATTTCGTGGATTGGTTGATGTTAGAAACTATCACCATTGGATGCCGGCTCAGTGGTCCAGTTGGTTAAGCGTTCGCGCGCGAGACCGAAGGCCCTGGGTTCGAATCCCGCTCGCGGGATCGTGGATGCGCACAGCTGAGGAGTCCCACAATAGGACGAAACGGCCGTCCAGTGCTTCCAGGTTTTCAATTGTGATGGTCTAACATCAATCGGTTCATGATCCTAACCGAAATATATTGGTCAGTATTTGGATGTACAGCTTCCTAAATACTTTATGCCTTTCTATTATGAATGGCTGGTTTGGTAAGCGTATTGAATTGTTCAATAGAATTGAATCCGACTGTTGACGGAAAGACCTATTCAGTAATTCCGTCGGTATAGTATCCCATGATTTATGAGAAACAGTAAATTTGATAAAGATAACCTCTTGTGCTTATTTCGTTAAATGAGAGAGTTTTATTGCAGATTTTATCCGACACTTAAATGATACCTATTCTCTAATTAAATTATTTTGCCTCATCGTTATACCAGACACTTGAATAATGTACAACTATAAACCTTACCGAAGAACCAAAATTAAATACCATTAACTTTGACAGCAAACCCAAAAGCTTTAAATCGCTGTTTCAGAATCCATCTACATTGGTAACTTTTAATAAGTGGATCATTCAAGATTCTAATTCATTTTTGAATATCCCAATTATACCCGGACAGTTCACAAAAGGATTTGGGCTACTAGGAATATATGAATCATTTATTTATCGAACACCGCACCTCACACGCTCTTGTCTATGTCAATTCACAAACCTCGATGTTTAATTTGAGTACATTATTATTAAACACTAGTCAATAAAGTTTCCCATAAAATCTTCGCCTTGAAAATATTTATTAGTGACTAAATCAAACTAGGTAACAGGTTTGAATTGTTTTTTCTGGTTAGCGTTTTTTTAGCGAGTTAGTTTTCTATGGGATGGGGTCTCTAACCCCATGCCCAACCCTCCTCCTTTACCCGGGCTTGGGACCGGTAGTAACTCTAGAAGAGCTACAGGCGGAGTTAAACTAAGTAACAGGACGTGTTTATATATGCTTTCTATTAAGCTCCGTTCAAAAAAGGAGAAAACAGAAAACTGGCTAAGAGGATACCTGATGTTCTTGGTTTCGAACTTCATTTGGGATCGCGAATGTACGCCTGGAATGAGTCCCATACCGAGATGAAACAACCATCTATTAATGGTTGTCTAATTGCGTAAATTATGAAAATCAGCAAATACTTACTATGTTTCAATAATTCATATCATATCATTTGGAATTTACGGTAGAAAACATTTCCACAATTGTGATACTACCCAGAAAAAAAGAAATACGATTATAAGGAGATGATTCAATTATGATCAATTCAATTAAGCGTTATGTTTATTTTACTTTTTTGTGAAACGCAAACGTTTGTCAATTGATTCCATTCAGTAACAAAACTTCTATTTATTTCAATATCTTGTTAACAACATTAACCGAGTGAAGCAAAAATCAGGGGGAAAAAAGGGAACTGTAAATAATAAATTTACGAACATTGAAGAAGAAAGTAACGATGGCGAGAAATCGGTAGAAGCTTGGGAATTAACTATGTCTAGAAGTAAGAGAAAATTTAATTTAGCCAATAAATTGAAACAATTATAAATGTAGAGGTAAAATGAATTAGTTGTCTAGTTTGTATTCATTCAAATTGTTGTAATATTATTAAATAAAACATTTGAGTTGTTTCTTTGTTTTTGGAGGGTGAACAAGTGAAAAAATATTTCCAGTGGTAACTTATATCAAAACAGTCGTGAATGGAAATAATAAGGAATGGAATTTTAAAGATACTTGAAAATGTGGTAAAATGCCTGAAGCAAATAAACTTTATCGTTCGTATAGGAGTGTTGTAGAGATCACTGAGTTCGTAGACTGATTTCAATTTGATCACCACTGGAATTCAGGAAATACTAAACGACTATTTCATCCTAGTGTATAACTCTTTAGTAGTACCTAACTACTAAACATTAGGTATAAAAACCAGGTTTATCAAGTATCCCAGAGATTGCTTAATCATTATGTTACCGAGTGAGTGAACCATACACTTAACCTTAAATAGGACGAAATCTAGAACTGACCAATTTCATGTCAGACAAGATATTTTGTATTCTTGAGTCATCAGGTGTCGGAATGGAGTTAGTCGATTTTTTTCGCAAATGCCTAATGCATCCAATGATAAGGTACCTACATTCGTTACAACTTAATTAACAGAATTCAACCAAACCTAAAAGAAC